ATATTAATGATTTAGTAATGATTTGATAGTAATGATTTACGACTTGAACAATGAACAATGTTTGGTTCAATTAACCATATTTTCGTTACATAACTAGTAATGAAATTATAATAATAATTTGATACTAAAAATCATTATAAATATGTAGAATTTGTTAATGTTTGAAAAAACTAGTCTAATGTCAATATTAAATTTGTAACAAATAACAAACTAGTTTACAATTGTTGCCGATGTCGGGGTGTTGTTGAATGATAATGTTGGGGCGGACGTCTGATGCGTTGTGGCCGTTGCGGTTGCTCAGGAGTATGGTACCCATCCTCCTCATTCGTTGGGGGCATTTGAACTGACATGTGTTCAAAGTCATACGTCGACGAAAACATGGGAGAGTAGATGGATGCATCAGGCTGCACAAACTCTGGTATGTATGCATCGCCGAACGGTTGTGGTGCGCTATTATCCACATCGGTCATTTCCGCTTCAGGTTGTTGAGATGAACCCCCACTCCCACTTGGTATAGAGTATTCAGCTTTACCAAATCTTTTCTTAAACCTCAAAAATTGTTGCCTCTCTACAATTGTTGTCAAGAATGGCTTTCCATTATCCAAAAATAAGCAAGGTAAGCCGAAGTCTCAAAATTAAAGTCGTCGTCTTGAATGTCGTCAAGAATTGGCATGAATGAAGCCCTATTGTTCCAAGCATTAATGTAGATTGCATGATTCTCAACCCAATTAACATTTTCTTTACGACGACCATCAAATCTGTGTAGCTGGTCATGCGTCTCAACCCAATTCACCTGACGACGACCATCTAAGATTTGGAGGAGGTCATGATCCCATGGACTCCGCGGAATAGGTTGGTGGAAGTGGAATTGCCTCAACACTCTATCCCCAAATTGGATCTCAACAAACGCAAAATTGATCAATGGTGTAACAGCACACCAATATTGACACCCATCTAAAATATCGTGCGGTATTAACACAAGTATTTCTCCATTCATGTATGGTCTCCAATTAAACTGTAAAATTACAAAAACAATAAAATTTATTTAAATCAAATAATATAGTTAATTTAAATAATAATTAAAAATAACATATTATACATACCTCCTTTTTTGCCTTAATGTCGATCTTCAGCCTGAACTCTTTAATGTTGTTGTGCACCAACCCCGTGCCTTCAATTTTATGCCTCCATCTGTATATCAATCAATATAAAAATATGGTCATTTTTATTTTATAATTAATATTTTATATTAAAATAGAGAATTCATATTACCTTCCGGCAAGCGGAAAGTCAACCGCAGTCCGACTAATCGGTGTCAAAAACGGAAGTCTATGCCAAGCCCATGACTGTAGCAGCAACAGACATCCACCGATTTCTGCTGTATTATTATCATTCACGACTAATGACGCCTTGCACATCTCACGATACAAGAACGCCAATATCGCCGATCCCCAGCTATATTGCCTACTATTCTCAAAATTTCTTAAAAAAAGAAGATATTGAGTGTGAACATAACTACCGGATTTATCCGGCATTAAAATACCCCCAATCAACTGTAATATATATGCTCGTGTTGCATATATAATTTCGTGCTCCGTACTATTTGGTTGAAGCTGAAATTCATTCTTCAACCATGACAACCTCACACGCCACCCTTTACACTCTGGTGGTACGGGCGTTTTCCCAAGAAACAAGCTACAAAGTTGTGCCACATTATTAAACTCATGTGACGTTACCACTGGCATCCCATTTGTTTGGACCCCGAGCTGTAATGCCACATCCTCCAGAGTTATGGTACATTCGCCACACGGCAAATGAAACGTGTGCGTTTCTGGTCTCCAACGCTCAATCAAGGCACTGATCAAACCTGGGACCAACTTGTAATCTCGCACAAATGTTACATACCAAAATCCAGCCTCCTGCAAGTTTTCTTCTATCAATCTATGTGGCTTGGGCACTTTATGTAGCCGATGACGAAGGACTCGTTGCTCGTCCTCCTGCAATTAAATATTTCAAAAGATTTATCACAATCACAAAATAATATTCAAATATTTATTAATTATAATTCATTAAACAAATATTTTATTCACCATTATTCCCAAATGACTTGAAATATGTTCATTTTCAAGTCTCAACAGTGGAATTTGGTCAGCCATTGGAATGAATCTGTACAAAAGTAAACAACAATATTTAAAAATTCATTTAATGTAACTAATATAATCTAACTAACTAACTATTTTACAACACAACAAAAAAATTTAATATAATAACTTATAATATATTAAACTAATAAACTAACAAACTAAACTTTTTAAAATATAAATTAAACGTAAATTTTCCCTTAAACAACTAATAAACTATTCTTTAATATAAATTAAACTAATAAATGTTTTTTAATTATAATTTACTACTAAAAAACTAATTAACTCATTTTTTTATATAATATAAATTCAACAAACAAATATAACTTAACTATTTAACTAACACAAACTAATTACATATTTTTTATATATAACTAACGACTAACAAACTAACTAAATATTTTTATTAATATGTAACTATCAAACATGCTAATTACATAATTTTTTATTTCTATATGATATAACTTAAACTAACAATAATATAACTTAAACTAACAAACTAATTAACTAATTTTTTGTTTTACCCTAATTTATAATAATAAACTAATTAACTAATAATTTATAACAATAAACTAATTTAAATAATTATTCTTTATATAACTTAAACTAATAAACTATTTTTATTATAATAAAACTTAAACTACTAATAAACTAATTTTTATATAATATAAATTCAACAACCAAAATATAACTTAACTATTTAACTAACTACAAACTAATTAAATATTAGACTAACTAACACACTAATTAATTATTTTTTTAATATATAACCATCAAATAAACAAATTAAATAATTAACTAAAATTTTGTTTTAACTTAAACCATAAACTAACAAACTAATAATTTAAAATAATAAACTTATTAAAATAATTAAAAAAAAACTTACCTCGATGTTGTGCTCTCCCTTTCTTCTTCCTCCTCTTTTCTCTGCTATCTTCTCCTTTGCTATTTTCTCCCTTTCTTTCTCTCTTAATTGCCATCCATCCAATATATAATACAACAACCGGTATTGCTTCAATTATAGGTGGCCGATTCACGTTCACGGGCTGCAATAATGCAGCAATAAGTGCTGCAATAATGCAGTTGATTTCACACCCATGTTGCTGCAATAATGCAGCTGATTTCACGCTGCATGGGACCAGAGACGCAGAGGCAGCAAAGTGGGGCAAAGGCATAGGTCGTCCAGACGCATGCCACGTTGCCCTGCAGAGACTCCAACCTCGCCCAGGGCCAACCCTAAACCACCAACATTGTTCAGTCCAAGCATGGACTGCATGGTGACCTTTGGCGAGCTGGACGTGCATTGCATGGTGACCTTTGGCGAGATGGGCGTGCATGGGCATGGTGCATGGTGACCTTTGGCGAGATGGGCGTGCATGGGCGTGCATGGGCATGGAGGTCGTTGGCTGGTAGGTCGCAGGGCATGCATGGCGACCTACCAGGTCGCTGGGCGTGCATGGCGACCTGGTAGGTCGCCGGGCGTGCATGGCGACCTACCCCCCGGTACTGTAGAGGACACTACTTTAGCAATTAATCTGGCGATCCCACTATTTCACGAAAAAAAAAATTTCAACGCACTATCAACGAGATTTTGCCCTTTCAACACTATACATTAATTTCAGCCTATCAAATGAATGGTCCGTCACATCATCACTCTTTACTAAGCCCTGATCGTTCTTCTAACCTTGTCATTTGCCCTATCTTACATCGCAAGGAGAGAGAAAAAAGTAATGCGAAATAGCACACTTGTTCCATTTATTTGCTCAATAAGATGAATTTTAACTGAACCACTAAGGTTTTATTTACATTTTGTGCACGTTATATGTACGGATAACCCTTGAATTCATATGGTGTGATTATAATGTTGATATTGAAGTAGTGGTAGTATTGGCCCATGGGTGCTGCCTCCCGTGCTCTCTGAAACTGACAACCGAAGTATATGCGTTGTCTTGTCAAAGCATATTTGTGATCAGAGAGAAATATCAGAGATTCATAGATCATTACACTTTGATAAGAGACTAAATAAATGACATAGGACATGGTGCTGTCCCTTTAAGTTAACCAAGTTGAGAGACAATTTTCTTCCTTTTTATCAAGCTTTTAGGCGGTGAATCCGTGTTTGGCCAGAGTTGGAATGAAGATGACTGAACAAATTTTCTGGATTTATGCCTAGAACTGAATACACGGCCGTCAATGTAGCCGACAGACAGGATGTTAGTCACCTTTTATTTCTTACATCGGTTTGATTGGCCGTGGGTAGGCAGGCATGCACCATGCTTGTGTTGTATATCTCATTCGGCCATCCTCACCAGGCGTACCATATGGCCCTACTTCACATCAGAAAATGACCTTTCAGCAGATTAGAGGGTCGGGAATCGTTTTGCCTGACGTTGCGAAAGGGTCATTGTTTTCAGAGTTGAGAATCAACTTACTAAGAAATCAGAATTCGTTTTTAAGAGTATTAGCAGGATAATGTATATATAATTCTAGAATTGCATAATTTAAAATGGTTGCAAAATAGGTTGAGGCAAATAGGTTTTGTCATACTATCTACAGATGATTGTTTGTCATTTTGTGCAATTGGAATAAATAGCCGCAAATACTATATATACGGATTGGGATATTACTTATTCAACGTAAACCTTTTTTTATTTTACATATATTTAGGAATATTAAATGAATGAAAATAATCGTCTAGACTAATTTCTTATTTTTTTCAATAAATATTTTCTCATTTTCTAATGTTAATCTCGGTTGACTATTTTTACTATAGAACAGTCCTAAACCTATGTAAGACTAAAAAAAATTATACCGTATAATTAAATCATATCCATATATATATATATATATATATATATATATAATATCAAATGTAAAGAGCAGCTGATAATTCAATGGAAGTTCACTGCACGAATTACATCAAACTGCAAATTTAAGTGGCAACTCATTATCAGTTTTACAATCAGTATCCCCCAAAAGGCAGAAAATGCATTGCTTAGAACAACTTATGATCCTGTCATGACTGTTAAAAGATCATGGTTAAAGGGGCAATATTACAACTACGGTTCAAGAACACTAGATTAAAACTCCAACAGAGGCTTGCAAGCACGAATTACAGCATTAAAGATCATGGTTGAAGATCGCTAAGCCTTTGCTTTTCCTGCTTGATGAGATTGAATCCTATCTTGGACCTTCAATATCTAGTAGACACAATGATCAAATTCAATTTTAGCTTTTACTCAATACTAGTATTTATTATGCTTAGCAAGATAATTATATTCATGCATGTACCCCTTCAGTAAAATATAGATTATGAATGTTACATGAGAGGGGTTAGAACAGAGCACAAAGAAAATATTGCTGATAAATCTAATTACATTTTCTTAGAGTTCAACTGAGAAGAAAAAGGAGAAATTCTAGATGCTTCATAATATACTAAAAGACGATTTGATTTCGAATCTTAAAGATTTAACAGAAATTTATATTATGGTTAGATTCCGATTTATGAGGAGGCAAGTAAGCAGCTTCATAAAAACCAAACAGCAAGATGCATCCATGTACAAGGCAGTTTGTAGAAGGACATGGTATTAAAAGAAAAAACATAATTTGCTCTGTGATGTTAAACACAAAAGTCTCAGAAATGCAAAAGGCAACCCAACAAATATGTAAACAACAGAGTGGATTAAATTAAGAACAAATCTAAATGAAACTGGACCCTGATGAATCAGGCAAGGGCAACTAGTAGTACAAGTTAGGACCTAAAAGAAGACAAATAGAGTATTAGCAAATTAGCACCCACTGAAAATTATTTACTTCAAGTACTCATTAAGACTCCCAAAAAAAACTTATTATAAGGATTCAGTAGCGGGTAGAACCAATCAACCCTTGTTTGATTCTTGGAACCATATAATAATCAATCTTAGCCTCAGATGTCAAAATTTTCATTCCTATTAATTTACAATTCAGAAAAATGATGTGCTACTGCTGTTTAAAGTCAAATACACACAAATTATATAGCATTAAAACAGCAAAAAAAAAAACACTTTGAAAGGAAGAAAACCAACCGCCTCTCTCTTGCTATGTTGTTTCTCTTCCAAATCTTGAAGAGACCCATCAAGCCGCTTCCTGTAGACGGAACCAAAGTTTAAAAATTCATATACATGAAACTATGGAATGATAATCCCAATATCACATTATGCACAATGTAGAATTTTTTTTTTTTTAAAAATGCAGATACAAGGGCATTGTCTAAGCATGTAAAAATAAAGAGTAACAAAGGAAGTACATTTGATTACAACTCTGCAAAGCTTGGGGTGAATCACATAAAAATGCACATTATGGGCAGACTTCCATAAAAATTAAATCAGCTTAGCTCAGTTTGGCATTCTAGTTGGTTTTAAAATTCTGGTTAGGGAACCACATTTGAAAGCAACTAATTCACATTCTAAACTCATAATCCAAACACCACACCTTTATATCCAGAAGAATATGCTTAGCATAGCCTTAAAATGTCCCAGCAAAAATAATACTAAGTAATACTACAAATGATTCTTAGCCTTGGACAAGATAAAAAGAAACTGATACAAGATAAACTATCCACAATACTCTTTAGCAACAAAAGAAAATGTGAAAAGAATCTTACAATTCAGCAGAGATGTATTCGATTCTCTTACTAACATTGGCGTTAGCCTCTGCTAAATCTTGTTTAACAAGCACTGGACCGATCAACTTGTAAACATTTGCATCCTCGTTTAATAAACCCAGCTCCTAAGAACATTTTCAACAAAAAGAAAATAATCATAAAAAGGCATTTCAAGGCCAATTTATTAATCAATCAATTAAATCGGCACAATAACGAAAACCCATCGAAACCTTAAGGACTAACTCGTTCTCTCCTAACTGAATAGTGTATTTCTTCCTGACTTGATGGTTCTTCGCTACATCTGGAAACACCGTTCAATGAGTACATTAAAAAAACTATAGGGTTTCTTAATCGTAGAAAGCAAATAGGAATTGAGTACAGAAGACGATGAGAACGGATTTGATTAGGCTTGCCGTTTTGGAGTTTGCTAAGATCGTTAGCTTTGTTTTCGAGGTCCCGCTGCAGTTCTCGAAGAGCTGTGGAGGAGGAGGAACTCATTCTTCTTTCGCTGCTTTGTTATTCCAGGCTTTCGCTGATTACCTATTATCCGCAGAAGCCGTGCAGTATAATTAATTGTTTGGGTTTTCTCAAAATTTAGCATCACATTCACAAATTGAAATTGAGTGAATTATTATTATTTTTTTTGGATAATTAATTGAGTGAATTATTTATTCATACGTAACTTTCCAAGTTTTATCTAATTAATATGTCTGGGCCTGGTTGTCTCTTGTGGTCCAAAACCATTAGTATTAACGGCGATCCAGCCAACTTGAAATCCAACAGATTCAAATGTCCCCTTCACGCTCTCAAAGGGCGAGTCCCTTCGCAACCCTGACTGACAGCCACCTTCCACGGTTCGGTGTTGACGATTATTTGTTGTCATTCCGGAACTCCTTCAAATGATTTTTTTTATCTTATTCTTTTTGAGTGTGTGCGTGGTTCTAAAATAGACATGAGATCTCATTGCTCGTCTTTGAATTTACAACATTTCTCCCCTGCGGAACTCTCTCAATTCCCTAAACGACACGCCTTTGTCCCCGCTTTGTTTCGCCTTCCATGCCTTTCGTCATCTCGGTTTCGCGCTGCTGCATTAAGTTCCTACAATCCTCTCAAATTACAGTTAAAACGATCCCGAAATGTACCAAAGCGGAGTCGTCAATTCCGTCCACGTGCCGTTAAGGTTTACGCCACCAATGATGATGTAAGTAATAACATTCTGTTTCTCAATGTGGTTTTCGAAATTAATTTTGTAATTTTATGATTGGAATTTATTTATATTTTCTAGGACTCAATGGGAATTTCTTCTTTTGATGAATGGGTGGTTGATGATTCGGTGGCAGCATATGTGTTTTCTTCATTTAGTGATGGGGAATATAGCGATGGAGAAATCGTGTTAAACCCTTTGGCTGAGGTGGATTTGCCTCCGGTCTCAGCTGATGATTCTGTAACCATGAGGTCCTTGACTTCCCGTCGGTATTCTTTGATTGGACAAAGCCCAAAAAAACACAGGCAGGCTCTTTTATAAATTTCCTGACAGAATGAACTTCAAATATTTAGTATTTGGATAAACAAATTAATTGTTTTGCGGGAGGCTTCATGAATTAATACACATTCCATGGCCCTTTTTTTTATAGTTTGCCTAAATCAATTTCAGGATAAACGTTGGGCTGTTAAACAACTTGGGTATCATAATCTTCCTGACAATGGTTATTTTACTTGTTGATTGGTGTGGATGGAAAATTGTGAGGCTACCCTTGGCACCGTTTTACTTGACCTCCCCATTTTTCATATCTTTGGTCTTAGCAACAGGTGCGGGTTACATTTGTGTACCATATCTTAAGACTTTTGAGTTCCATCAAATAATTAGGAAAGAAGGTCCAGCTAATCATTCGAAAAAGCAGAGGACCCCGACCATGGGTGGACTTTTCTTTCTACCAGTTGGTATATTTGTTGCGAACTTTGTTACTGGTTTCTCGTCTGTTGAAGTTGCTGCAGCAGCAGCTGCAACCTTAGCGTTTGCTACGATTGGACTGATTGATGATGTCTTATACGTCATCAAGCAACACAACAGTGGCTTATCTCCACGTTTAAGACTACTTTTGGAGGTAGTTACATTTTTGCTTGTCTCTTTCTTTTATCGTTTATGGTTCATCCTTGTTGCCACATAAGTTTATTTTTGTCCCAGTTGTTCCACTAATGTCTAACTGTTTATCATTGCAGGCTGCTGTTGGGATTTGGTTTTCAGTTTGGTTGAATGCTACAACTTTGTCATCACCCTATGGCATGTATATCTTCTTGTAACTAATCTTATCACATTTATTTATCTTATGGTAACTTGCATTCCTTTTCTTGTGTCGGAGGATATGAAAAAAAAATCAAGTTTAGGTAATTTCCTATTTGAAAAAAAAATTTGGTTCTCCTGATCTTGTTGAAGTTCTCTGATGGAAAACCATGTTATACATTCCATTCTTTATATAAGATATTATAACCTTTCTTTTCTTTCCTAATATAAACAATAATATTTTAAAAATACAGATTCTTCTAGTGAAGGAGAAATATCATTATAACAGCTGTTAGGCAGAACTTTAGCACTTAGGTGGATGAATGTCAATACGTGTGTTTCAGCTCTCTCTCTCTCTCTCTCTCTGTAAGATATCCTTTTTTTGTCGATCAATGAGTCTCTTATTAATGATTACTTATAACTAAAACTACGGTTTGGTCACTCACAATTCTCCCCCCAGCAACAACAAAAAAAAAACACGCACACTTTAGTCTAACCTTGAAAGACTAGTGGTTATTTTTTCTCAAATGTGCTGCTTGCATTCCTCTGACCATTTTATTACTTCTTAATGCAGGAAAATGTTGGTTCCTCTACCTGCACCACTGGGCATTGTGTGCTTTGGAAAATTTTACCTATTGTTGACTCCATTTTGTTTTGTTTCCATGGGAAATGGGGTTAACTTAACCGATGGTCTTGATGGTCTTGCTGGAGGGACTGCTGCATTAGCCTTTATTGGAATGTCAATTGCAGTGCTTCCAATATGCCCTGGTTAGTATGAATTTGGTTTGAATTAGTAATATTATAAGTTGGAAGAAAGGAACAGAGTTTTCTTTGTTCTCGGGATATAGCTGCATAGCATTTTGGTGACCTCACATACTTAAAAGTTTATCTACGGGTCACTGCGACAATAACATCTTTTAAGTCACATGATTGCACTTTTAAGCTGCTTCATCTGAATGATATATGCAAGACATTTAAAGCTTACTCTTGGATTTTGTTGATGGTTTTTTGGCCTATTCCTTTATCTTCCATCTTAATATTAAAATGTTATTGTTGCGATGGCCAATTCTTCCATCTTTGTGAAACTCTAAGGCTCTGCTTGGTATGAAGGATAGAAAAAAACTTATGCGTGGAAAAATTGTTAATCTTAAGATTATCAAATTTTCCATCCTTCATACCAAGCAGAGCCTAAAATTTCGTTTTCAATTTTAATCTTTTTTATGCTTTTTCCAGTATTTACCTTGTCATTTGATAAATCCTTATTCAACACATGCTATATTTGATATGAGTATTATATTTTCCTTGTATTTTAGTACATGAGTTAGCAATAAACCAACTTCGTTCGGTAACTTGTAGCCACTCACATGACTTAATTTGAACAATGAGAATGAATATATTTTGCTTATTTTGAAGAACCATTATTTTTTACTTGATTTTTTTACTCATCTTTCTAATTTCAAGTTCAGATTTTTTCTAATTTTTCTTTATAATATGACAAATTATTTTAAAACTCATGCAATAATCAAGCCTTTTCCTTATGTTTCATATCGGACATAACATAAATGTTATTTTCAATCCCAATCAGAACTTGCTATATTTGGAGCGTCAATGGCCGGTGCCTGTGTTGGTTTTCTTTTGCACAACCAACACAAAGCATCTGTATTGATGGGTGATATTGGATCCTTGGCCCTTGGTGGTGCATTAGCTGCAATGGCAGCTTGTACAGGAATGTTCTTTCCCTTAATCATTTCATCTGGTATCTTTGTGTTGGAAGCATCATCAGTCATTCTGCAGGTATTCTCTTGTCTGTTAATTATCTGATTCTGAAGTATTTCGTTGAAAATCTTTCAAATACAAATAAACTTTGCATCTTGATATGTTAGTCTCAGTTGCTTCTAATAGTTCGTTCGTGAATCAATATTATTTCCGTCTGTATGCCACTTTCTCAGACATGGTAACTGACTTCTTTGTTTGTTAGGTGTTATACTTCAAAATAACAAAGCACGTGTATGGAAGTGGGCGGCGCTTGTTTAAGATGGCACCTTTCCATCATCATCTGGAATTAAGCGGGCACAAAGAACCAGTGATTGTTGCTGGCGCATACGCCGTATCCTGTGTGTTGGCTTTGTTTGCTGGTTACATGGGCCTTATATCGGTATAATGTAAGCCATCATTTGCATCCATCTCCATTTTGTTTCCTTAGTTATTAGTCATAATTGGTCTTCTCATCTCTCGAATATTTCTTAAATCTTTCATGCTCTCCGTTTGTGTTGACACAGTTTTGCTATGTTACCCGAGCTTAGATACGAATGTCAGATATGGATGTGTATCTGACACGAGTATGATCATTCCTTTTAAAGATTTTCTCTTGTAGTTAAAAGGCCATATCTCTATATTCACGTCCGAACTTGTGTTCGAAAGAATTGTCGGACACATATTTTTAAAAAAGAATAACATAGCCATGGTGGTTTAGGAGATGTAGGAATTAATGCATGCGTCCACACAAGTTTAACCTTGTGAAGCTGATTGTAACATGAGCCTTAGACTGTGAGCCTAGGATGAGAATTTACTGTTCTAGAAGTTCTTTGGTTCATGTTGTTGAATCAATTCTTTTGATTATTTCATAAATCTAATTTTAACAATTATAGGTGTCTTGGCCTTTTTTCCCCTCTCATTTTGACTTCATAAATCTGTATTTTGTTCATATTGATCATCTGAGAAGGGAACTTTGATATTGAAATTTAAAATAATTATATTAAATGTAGACTGGTGTTTTATAACTATATACGAATCATTTGGGGTTTGATTAATATAAAATAAAAACCATTTTACTGACACGGTGTTTGGTAGGGTAGAAAAAAAATGAAATGAATCAATTAATTTTTCTTTCTTTCGCCCATCATTTCATGTCTGAAAGAAAACTTGTCATTCCAGTTAAATTTCACATTTTATTCGTAATCGTATATCTGTATTGCTTTTATCTCATTCCTGCTTTTTATGATATGTGAATTCAAGTGTAACCCGTCCTGCTTGCTGGTATGTTTAACATATAAGTTTTATTTGGTACCAAGGATTAAAATGATTGAAAATGAAAATTTTATTAATCTAGTTTAAGCTTTAAAGTATAAAATAGTTGAATACATAAAGTTATAATTTTGTGTGTGTATACATAAAGTTTTAGTTATATCTGTTGAAAAAATTGTATTTTCAATTAATATAAAAGAGATTAAATAACTTTAAAATTTTATAACCTTGGATTTAAAAATACTTTTTATATTAAAAGTATTATTAAAAAAAGCAAGATTTAAAAACAGTTTCTATATAAAAGTGTGCTTTTAAAATCATTTGTCCAAAAAGTTGAAAATTAGCTTTTTTGTTTTTAGTTATAAAATGATAAAAGTACTATTTGATTATCATTTAAGTCAATTTTATTTTTAATCATTTTTAAATTCAAATTTTTTATTTTATAACATTTTTCACTAATATCTTATATTATACATCACTTTTTAAATTCATTCTAAAATTTTTCTAATTTAACAATAATAAATAATTGATCTAAGTACTATTAAATCTAATGAACAATTAAAAATTAATTTTGTAAAGTATTAATGGTATATAAAAATGTTATTAAAATTCCTTTTATTTGGAGCGCAATATTTATAAATTTAATTATATATTAGTGTAAGTGCATGTGTGTGAGTGAAGCATTTCACATGCTGGTTAGAACCATCTGGTTGTCTAAGTTGTCTGTTTCGTTTTCACGTTGGTTGTCAATCTTGTTTCCGAGTATTTGGAATTTCAAAGTTAAACGTCATTTCTTATTTCAGAGCTGAGATTTCTCTTTTATATTTATTAATGTCGATTTCTAATTTTAAATTGCTGGAATTTCAAACCCCACACTCCACATACTCAATAGTGCAATTTCAATCTCAACTCATAATTCATTATTAAACTTAAATACATTTCTTTCTTAAACCGTATATAATTATATGTATGAAATCCTTTTAATACTATTATTTATAGGTTTCCTCGCCCATATAGGGTTGTGGGAAAAATATTTTCCCATAAAACATCATCCATATTATTTTCTGAATTAGAGCTTTTTAATGGTTTGAAGATGACGTGGAATATTTTCTATTTACCTGAAGACATTATGCAATCGTGAGGTTTTCTTCATCTATCTGAACACATTATACAATCATAGAGTTTTCATATTTAACACCAACTTACGCTACAACTGATGTTTGAAAACCTTTCGTTACCATCTGTCACTCTCAGCTGGTCTGCTTTGATGTGCAATGCATGTGCCTCCCGCCTGTTTTAATGATAAAAACCTAGTAATAACAAAATGGGTAAAGTAAACAAAAGGGCCACGAATAAAGGGTGTTGCTTTGTTAACTTATATAATTATTAAAAATTATTAAATGGTATTGATTTGTTGAATTCTTCAACTATAAATAGTCACCCAACTATTCATATGTTCCAAACTTATCATGTTCCGTTAAAAAATTGACGGTTGTTTGAGCTGGATGTTAACCTGCTGATAGGGATATGATAAAATTATATTTTTAATGTTGTCTACTAGCACCACTATTGTTTTCAAGCACTGACTCGACAACATAATGTTTCAAGAACTGACTCGACAATATAATGTTTCAAGCACTGACTCGATGATATAATATAAATAGAGTGTTGATCCACAAAATACAACTCAGATGGTTTTAAGATCATATTTTATCATATCTCAGTCAACAAATTAACATCTAACTTAAACAGTCATTATTTTTTTAACAAAAATAACTAGTTTGAAATATATAAATAGTCGGATAACCATTTAGTATTTTTTAATAGTCGATGAACTCAACAAAATAAGACTCTATAGTCAAATTCATTTTATAATTTTTAATAATCAATTAGTTCAAAAAATAATATCTTATAATTATGGATCATTTATTTACTTTATCTTGTCACAATTTTAATGGTCTTAGGTATATTATTATACAATTAATTATTATTCTACCACAGTATTCTATCCGGAAGCCGATTCGTTCAGGCTCTATTCAATTTTTTTTATATATAAAAAAATCCTTTTACAACGAACTTAAACTTGACTGATGCAATGAATGAGCAAAAATAAATAGATGTAATGTTTTATCTCGAAGTTTTTGAAAAAAGTATTAATTCCCGACAAATTAAAATGAAACGACAAGCTTCTTAATCACTTCGAATTGATTGGTTGGATTTAATTAATTAATTTTCCATGACGCATGCGTTAACTCAACCAACTTGAACCACGGTCACCCTCTAACCGCTGTTGAGCAAATGGCTTAAAGGACGTGAAAAAAAAATATTATAAGAAGAATATTTTTTTCGGAATCACATATTTATATTTGGATAAGAGGTATTTTGTCCGGAAGTAATAAAGCATTCCCTAAATTAGTTAACTTTTGTGTTTTTCTCGAGAATGTCATTTTCGATTGTTTTATTAGATATTATACAATTCCTTCCCTTTAAGACAAAAATACCCTCTAAATGATATGACTATTTCAAAATAGTCATTTCTTTTGTGCATATTTACATTGGTATAAATTTATTTTATTTCTTTGTTTTTTTATTGGGGTTCTAAATTTTTTTATTACTTGTTATAAAATAATATGATGCATATAATAAAAAGTAAAAAACATTAAATTTTTATTTTATTTTGAGTATTTATTATGTATCTAGTTTTATTTTTTATATGTATTTTATTGTGTTTATTTTTTGGATTAATTTTTAAAAAAGGTTTTTTGTATTATATTTTTTACATTTTTTATTAATTTTTTCAAATAATTTAATATAATATTTTATTGTACAACTTATACATGTAAAATGAATAAAATAAAAAGTTATAGCAAATAATATATACTTATACTAGTGTAAGTATGTACATCTCCTAATAACTTGGTACCTAAACATAAACATATAATTATATTGGTGTAAGTATGTTTTTGTCTTTTCAAATATATATATATATATATATATATATATATATATATATATATATATTAAATTATTTGTGTACAATTTTTATTAAAAATATATAAATTATAAATAATAGAAAAATATAATTTTCACGAACTTTCATGTAAATGTTTTTAATTTGATATTGAGAAATCAACTTGTTAAAATAAAATATATTTCAATGATAATTTGATAAAGAAAAATTATATAATATTTGTAGAGCATGGATGACCATTATTAACGACGAGCATCATTAAATTAATTTATAAAATATTAAATTATAAGTACTAAATCTATAATAATAAATTAGTTAAAATAAGATATTTATAAAATATTAGTTTTTAGGATAAACTATACTATTGACCACCTAACTATTTACCCCTTTAATTTTAACCACTAATTTTTCAATTTTGTCAATCGGGCCACCTAACTATTTTAATCTTTTCAATCAAACCACTTGTCGTTAAGTATTAACGGAGGAGATGATGTGGCAGTTAATGAAATTTGTATAATTACACATATAGTTCTCATTATTTACACATTCTATTAATTTGGTCCCAACTTTTAATTAATTCAATAAATTTAATCCTCAATCAGATGTTGATACGTGTCACTATGTGATTGGATGTTTTATATTAGTATTTTCTATTTAATTAAATCAAATTTTCATTCAATCAAATGGTGTCACGGGTCACTAATTGAGTGAATAGAAAATAAATTGACTCAATAATTGTTGTTGATGGGGTTTGAACCCAATACATGAAGAGGGTAAGCAAATGCCCCAACAATTGGGCTGCACCATTCAAATGAAAGCCTTGTCACGACATAATATATATAATTAATGGAAATAAAAAAATAAAATAACCTGATAATAACTCCAACATTGAATAATTGAATAATAAAATAATATGATATATATATATATATATATATATATTATAACTGATTAATATGTGAATGTATTTTATTTATATTTTAAATGATTTTAATGAAAAAATAAAAATAAAAATAATTTTAATATGTTATTATTGAAATATAATGAAGAGTTTTGTTGACTTGAAATTTTCCTGGTAATTGAGGGATTATCGCAGTAAGCATCTTAACTTATGCATTGAATTGTTTATATCCTGATTAGAGTAAGAATCTTATATTTTATTATTTATTCATTATATATTTGAAGAAAATTTTAGAGAAATTTTGATTTTATTGAATTAGTCTATTTTAATATAAAGTTGTTGAATAAGATTAGAATCTGATCGACGTTATAATATTTTAAAATATAAGATATGATGCATTTTAGTTTAATAAAATTAGAATAATATTAAAATATGTAAAATGATACATTTCAATCATAACATATTAAATTTACTTTTACTTTTATTTGTGCATTAAATGTGATTTAAAATATAAACAAAACATGTTCGTTTATTAGTTGATTATAATATATGTTTATATATATTTTATATTTTCATACTATGTTAATATTTCATGTTTGAGTCTTTATAAGGTCAGTTATT